GCGGTGCCACCATCCCAGCCCTCACTGGCCACCAGGGGTGCAGCTCTTTTTTTTTTTTTTTTTTTTTTCAGATGGAGTCTTGCTCAGTCACCCACGCTAGACCGCAGTGGCAAGATCATGGCTCACTGCAGCCTCCACCTCCCAGGTTCAAGCGATTCTCCTGCCTCAGCCTCCTGAGTAGCTGAGATTATAGGCACACACTGCCAAGCCTAATTTTTGTATTTTTAGTAGAGATGGGGTTTCACCATGTTGGCCAAGCTGGTCTGAAACTACCTGACCTCAAATGATCCACTTGCCTCAGCCTCCCAAAGAGTTAGGATTACAGTCGTGAGCCACTGTGCCAGCCTTTTGTATTTTTTGTAGAGATGAGATCTCGCTATGCTGCCCAGGCTGGTCTCAAACTCCTGGACTCAAAACATCTGCCAGCCTCGGCCTCCCAAAGTGCTGGGATCATACACATGAACCACCATGCCAGGCCAGTGCTAGACGATTCGTGGCCAAGAGCCCTGCCCGGGGCAGCAGGTGATCGTGCAGATGGCAGGAATCATCACCATTCGTCCAGGAGACCCTGTTCTGTTACACACTGTGTGGGGAAGCACTGTCCCGGGGTGGGACAGGCGGGTCATGTTTGAGGGCTCCCAAATTCAGTGCCTGTGGCAGGCTGAACCTCCCAGTTCACAGGACAGGAGGCCGAGGTGCTGCGGGTTCACAACTTGTGAATGGAGAGGACTCGAGATTGACAAGGAAGCCCACGTCCACTACAGGCTGAGCCTGGCCCAGAGCTGGGATCCCTCGTCCTCTGGGCTCACCCTCTGAAACCAAACCTTAAGGCACACGGCCGCTGCACTCGCAATGCTCTGCCTATTCTCTGGCCTGCATTTGCCGTTCCCAGTCCTGTCAGAATGACTGTGTCTGAGCTGGGGAGGAGTCCACCCCACGCATGCCCCTCTCACCTGAGCGGTAGCTGCTCCTCAGACAGAAGAGCCGGAAGATGTCGGGCGAAAAGGTCTTCAGAAAGTCCTGGGAAAGCGACAGACAGGCAGTCACGAGGCTTTGCTTTCACACTTCGCACCGCCCTGAGACGATGTTATTTACGACAATTACATGAGTTACCTCTACCTATCAAGAAATCGGGAATCTTGATGAAGTGTGCCCTCCAAACTCTCACGGTTACCGCCTGTTTCCTGGTGATTTCCTCACGGAACTTTCCATGCTCAATCTCAGTATTTGTGGAAAGAGAAAGAGGAGAAAGCCACTGTTCCCTGAAATTCCCTACTCTGGGGTGGGGGGGCTCCTGCAGTGAGCTACAGTAGTTCTAATAGAAATCTAGAATCTAATCTTTCTAGAACATTCCGTTTCTATGGACTGTTTCCTAATAATACAGAAAGGGGAAGCACAACTTCATTACACAGTATTCTGACAAGGATGTGAAACTCTTGAATACTGTGGGTGCTCCTGGAATTAATTTTTTAGCGTGTTCCTGCTCTGTGCTGGCTGATGTCAGCAAGTTTCTGTCCTACTCTGGTTCCACCACGCAACCTGCCATGGCCACCTGAGAGGCGAAACGTGATGACAGTGGTGTAAGCGTGCGCTGTTTGACTCTGGGAGGTAAGCGATCTCCCTGAGCCCAGGCCAGAGGACTGGCTCGGCCTTCAGGTGGGGACAAGGACAAGCCATGTGAGCCCCAGTGAGCTCACGAGGTCACAGGGTGCACACTCACAGGCAGGCCGCTGGGTACGCACGCCAGCTGCCAGGGCACTTCCTATGACACCAGCGCTACGCAGCCCCAGAGCCCCTGGGCAGGGGCGGGAGACAGAGCCTCTCTACTGGGCCAGGCCGTCGCTTGCTTTGAGAGGTACAATAACTAGAAAGCAGGTTTTAAACCATTATGAGCTCCAGGAGTTGAGCTCTTTCTACACAGACTGTGGCCTCCGTTACGAAGAAGGCATCGCGTTTTCAGCCAGGCTATTATATGTCTATCAGTAGTCTCTAAGACAAGGAGGACTGGCAGGAAAAGGCTGTTATGCTAGAAAGCAGGAATGTGGCAAGTATCTTTAAGATGTAGGGCAATAATTTAACGTCCTCAAGGAACTAAGAAAAATATAAAAGAAAAATCACCAGTAAACACGTATAGACAAATCAACACAGCAAACAAAGACATGGACATTTAAAATCCAGTTGTCATTCTTCACAAATCAACAAGAAAAATGGGCCACGTTTCATGGGTCACTTTGTGAGGCTAAGACAGGAGGATCACTTGAGCCCAGGAGTTTGAGACCAGCCTGGGCAACACAGTGAGACTCCATCTTTAAAAAAAATACAAAATTAGCAGGCGTGGTGGTGCATGCCTGCAGTCCCGGCTCCTCGGGGGGGCTGAAGTGGAAGGTTTGCCACAGCCCACGAGCTCCAGGCTGCAGTGAGCTGAGACTGCACCAGGTGCCACTGCATTCCTGCCTGGGTGACAGCAAGACCCTCTCTCAAAAAAAAAAAAGAAAGAAAGGGAAAAAGGCAACCTGATTACAATTCTAATTTGATGTTGGAGAGACCTGGGAAAGAGACATTTTCATCTACTGCCAGTGGGAATGTAAATAATACTTACTGATAAAACAAACAAACAAACAAAAAAAAAAACAGTGGCTGTATCCAAAACATTTTGAATGTGCCTGTATCCTCTGATGTGTGATTCAACCTCAAGGCACTTTTCCCAAGTCACTAATCATTAGATGTACACAGATATTTAGCAGAAGGATATTCATCACAGCACTGTTGCCTACAGAGTACAGGTCTCACAAACAAGCCCGACACCAGGAAATAAAATCATGGCACATCACTGCACGAGCCACTAAGCGGCCGCTGAGAATGCAGACATGGCAATGTCTGTGAAAATTTAAAATGCACATACCCTAGTGGAAAATATGGCAAGATGTAAATGACCATCAACAGGGGATTCTTTAAATTAATTAAGCTGCACCCACACACTGGACCACTCAGCCGTCTGAAAGAACAAACCAACTCCATATGGTAGAAAACCAACTAAGGCCAAGAGATTCATCAGCAAAGTAAAGCAAGTGCAAAACGACACCACTGTGTGTGAAGGGAAGATGAGAAGCACAGTTACAGGGAGATGTGTGAACACACACCTGCTCCGAATAAACTAGCCGCTGCTTCAGGAGAGGAGCCGGCCAATGGGGACGGTGGCCGGGCAGGAGGCCTGCTTTCCACACTCAGTACCTTTGGATTTTTCTACCACGTGCTTCTTCGTCTTGTCCGCAGTTCTCAAACTTTCTGCAGTTAAACCCACCATGTTTATAATCAAATTAAAACCTCAAATTGTTAGGGAAAAGGCAGCACACACGACACTGCCTCGTGAATGAGACAGAAAGGTTTATACGTATTGGCCTATCGTGTGAAACAGAACACGGGAAGGTGAACCCAGAAACAGAACACAACTGTGGCTGCTGGGGAGGGAATGGGTGCAGGTGGGCTCCAGGCCGGCCTTCTCCACACTCTCTTCAGTGTTAACGCTAAACCCTGCAAACGTACCGCAGATAAGACAATGAAAGTAAACTGGGGCCAGGCGCGGTGGCTCACGCCTGGAACCCCAGCACTTCAGGAGGCTGAGGCAGGTGGACCACCTGAGGTCAGGAGTTTAAGACCAGCCTGGCCAACATGGCGAAATCCTGTCTCCACTAAAAATACAGAAATTAGCTGGGTGTGGTGGCGAGCGCCTGTAATCCCAGCTACTTGACAGGCTGAGGCACAAGAATCGCTTGAATCTGGGAGGCGGAGGTTGCAGTGAGTGGAGATCACACTAATGCACTATGGCCTGGAAGACAGAGAGACACGCCGTCTCAACAACAACAACAAAAAAAAGGAAACTGGAAATTGGAAAGGGAAAGAGAGACCAACAAAGGAACCTCTTGTGTTAGTGAAAGGAAATCATTACCCTCTGCGGGTGTACGTTCAGACCACATAGCTTTAATGGGATACAGTCTAGGAGAAAAAGAAACACAAGTGCAGAACAGGTGAATCACAGAAACAGAAAGCAGACGCGTGGCTGCCAGGGGCCGGGAGGAAGTGGGAGTGAGAAGCGACTGCCCATGGGTGTGAGGTTCCTTTTCGGGGTGATGAACACGTTCCTGGATAGTGGTGATGGCTTCACAACCGTGAATATCCCACAAACCACCAAGCAGTACAATTTAAAAGGGTGACTTATACAGTATGTGCATTATACCTCAATAAAGCTATTAGTTTAAAAAGAAATAAAAAGAAGCTTTAAGTTTTACTCAATAGTTTTGCTTTTTAAAAGAAATTCAGTCTCTGTAGAGACTGTCAAAAATTGCCAATGCCGACTATATTGCAAGTCATCATGGCAGGGTATTGGGAAGAGTTTTCAATGAGCAATAATCACGCCTCAGATAAACCTCATTGGCTACGATACTGCCACTGTGCAAAGCTAACAGTTTTACTTTTCACAGTATTACTGGCATTAAGTTTTAAAATTTATTTTGTGTGTGTTTGAAGATAAAGCAGAGCTCTGCGGTGGCCACTTGCTCCAAGCCAGTTGCCGCACACCCCAGGACTTGGAACAGTGTACTCCCCGACCCTGTCCTTGGGCCTGGCTGTGCTGAAACAGCCCGGGACTGTGCAGTGCCCCATGTGCCAACATGGAAAAGCCTCTTTCTCATTTGCTTTTGCATTCAAGCAAAGAAGATGCTTATGATGGAGTCAGATCCGAAAATATGTGGAATGGATGGGTTAACACTGAAGTCCATAATGAAGATGGAAGAAAGAGATCTCTCAGTTTCCATATGTGGAATTAACAGGAAGAGACGGTGCCACCTGCCCTACTTGTCAGGGAACAGGAAGAATTCCTAGGGGGCAAGACACCAACGGTGGCAGTGATTCCATATAGTGATCAGCGATGAAGGCCAAGAACAAAGTTGCATGTGGTGGCTTCTGTGTCTGTCTGCTCCTTTCCGGATTGGCTTTGTTTTTCCTTTGCCATGGCTCTAGCAATGTGAAATACACTGCTGTAAAATCAGCATGTCAGTTATGACGTTCAGAAGCATACATGTATTTAAACATCACAAAACACTAAATAGAATGAACAATAACTATTACTCTGTCGAAGTTGAAAACATCACTGTCCAAGTTAGATTTCCACAAATGGTTATTAGGTAGGCATGCTCAGACAACACGACCAATACTGGTCCACTTGATATGCAACAAATTGATTACACAGTACCTACCGTTACCGCAGAGGAAATGAGTTATGTGTATGATTTCTGCACTCTGACATCCATCAAAGTGCACAGCACATTACTCAGGATGCAAGTTACTGTGACAACAACGTACTTTGACCACTCTGAACAGATATCCCAGGAGAGGTATCAGTATGTCAAACTGTGGAAGAAACACATTTACCAGTTGGGGCAGTCTGAAGATTTAAATGTACTTCAGTAAAAACTGGAAGAGATGGGTTTAAAGAAGAAGTATCTATGATATTTCCTATATCCTCAAAGAAGACGTACTTCCTAATAAGAGATCTTAAACTGAACTAACCTAAAGTTTATACTTCTGTTTTAAGAGTACAATTAAAGGTATGTGGAGCTGCAGTTCTCGTAAGTCTCCACTCTGTGTTAATGATGTACTAGGATCTTTCACTTGAATCTAAATTGACTGGTTTATTTCCTTCTCCAGCCTATCCCCTACAGGGAAAAGCTGGGACTTCGCCTATAGTACAATTAATAAATATTTAAAAGTCATAGCTCCAGTCACTACTGAAAACGTAATTTTGGTTATGAACATAATTTGAGAAACTTAATTTCTGAATGTTTTTATAGAAAATTACTGAAAGTCTATTATTCATGGAAGACTTTTAAAGAATAACTTTTTTCCCTGTTTTATAAAAATTCCCATTGTTACATGGTATTTCAGCTACACAATATTTAAGCTTTTAGCTAAACATTTCATTTTCATTTGTTGAAACTGTAATCATCTGCATGTTTTTGTCACTT